AAAGAAAAAAAGAAAATTTGGGACACAACTGAGTTACATGATGTTACAGTATAGGTTCTCCTATGTCCTGAGTCTTCACTGACCTTGAAAGGCTAGAGCCAAAATGTTGAAAAAATACATAAAGTTTTATTGGAATATAGTCATGCTCATTCAAATGTTGATGGCTACTCCTGTGAAATGATGGCAAAATATAATGTTTTTTTTAATAGGTCCTATAGGGTCTAGAAGACACAAAATATCTTTTCTGGCTCCTTCACAAAAAGTTTTCTATCTCCTACATTATACACTCCAAGCTTCTAGTCTGAATTAAACTTTACAACAATAATGAGAGCATAATATGACATTTTGTACTCAGGAGAACCAAGGTGAGTAGCTACTACTATAGAGAAGTGTATTTTTTCCAAAGAGAAATTTTGTCCATGGAGCCTTGCGGAAGACCTAGGAAATAATAACTTTAGAGAAAGCACAGCAACTATGTTCATGAGTTATTTACTATATTAACTTTCTTTTTTTATTTTTTATTTTTGCAGGTGCTGGCTCAGCCTGCTTTGGGGGCAGGGCTGGCACAGCATGTGGTGCCGGGAATCAAACCGCAGTCCCAATGCTAGCCTAAGCAGGTATTTTAGACCACTGAGCTATCTCACCAGCCCCATTTACTATATTAACTTTCTATGTAGATTCATAGCTTCATATCAAAGAGCAATCCTGTTAAGAATCAACCATTTGGGGATGGAAATATTGCATACCAGACAAATTTACACTTGAAGAGGGTTACTATTATCTACTCAGAGGTGCACTGCTGCATCCCAGCAAGAAACTGTGGTTCTATTTTCACACATTGGCAGTGCCTGAAAATTCCTTTATAACCCTAAATAGTGATGAAGCACACATAACTTCAATTACTACATCAGTAAAACATTAGTAGAGCAAACTAATGCCTGACTTTGAGCAGTGCAGCCTTCTAATACATGTTAAGTACAAAAGTATAAAATATACACTTATGTAATTGTATCCAGAGTCTTATTCTACAGGTTTAGAAATCTTGCCCATTTCAAAAAAAGGTACTTTTTTTTTAATGAGAAAAGGTCACTGTTAGTGTGACAGCATCTGATATACTCATAAGAGGAGAGTTTCAAAGGTGGATTGATTAGGGTGTATGAATGTGGATTAAGACCGTGATACTAGGATTAAGGAGATGGATAATGGAAGTATTACCCAGTGTGTGAGTGACACCAATCAACAGGCTTACAGCCAGCATGGATAGAATATAAAGGGAAAGAGAGAAGGCTTGCTTCCTCTGCTGCTACTTGCTTCCCAGTGCCTTTTACCTGTCATGCCATGAATTATTTCTCCTCTGTAATGTCCCTCTGCCATGCAACCCTGCATTAGAGCCAGCTGATTATGTACTGAAATATCTTATCAACTGTAAACTTTTCCTCCATTAACTTATGGGTGTCAGCAATGAGAAAAGTAACTAAG